AAAAGTATTATTGAAAGAAAGTAAGTCTAAAATAAATGTTCACTTTGTCAAACTACCAATAATTAGGCAATTAGGCATAATAAATGCCACAATACAAATATACGTCTGTTCGAAGAGTTATATAATCATTCGACAATACAAATATACGTCTGTTCGATGAGTTATATAATCATTCGACAATACAAATATACGTTTGTTTGATGAGTTATATAACCATTTGACAATATGAAAATGACTAAATGAAAGTAATATCACTATTTTAAATATACTGATTTTAAGAATTTTTGATAAAGTGATAAATAGAAATTTTAAAGAGTTAAACATTAAATTATATAATATTTACTATATATTAACATTCAATATTAAACAATTTACTTTATAAAATTACTCAAGTAAACTAATTTAAAAACAAGGGAAAATTTTCATAAAACTTTATTTTTATTTGTCAAGCTTATTCAAATGGGTGGATATCTAACATTGATTAAAAAAACATGGTGATATATAAAAGATTTGAACTCTAACTTAAAAAAGGAAATATTGATTATATAATATATATATAGAATAATCATGAAACAAAAATATAGGTTTTTAAAATAGTTTTTGAATTATAGTTTATTTTCAGAATTTTAATAAATACAAAAAAAAAACAAGTTTTACTTTATAAGCCGACTTAATTTTTTTTTTCTTACGGAAGTTTCTTGCAAGTGTTTTGTGTTTAGTTGTTACATTTTTCATAAGCTTTACTAAACCTTTTTAAAAAGTATTCGTATATAAGAAATCTCAACAAAAATTATAAATATATGAAAATTGCTAGATATTAACTCAACAAAAACACACTCTTAATAAATTTTATTGTCTGTCAATTGAGTTATTTTTTCGTTACCAAACTTAAGAACAGCCGAGAAAACGTATAAAAGAAAGCGCTTAACCCTATGGCAAAAATTTTTATTATGGTCTTGCGTTTTAGAAATAATATAAGTATATGAAAATTGCTAGATATTAGCAGTTTTCATTGATTAATCTAAACTACTTAATTTAACATTATTTGATCAAATAAAACTAAGTCAAAAATGACTAGAATAAATGCCAATGTCTAACTGGCAATTCTCATCATCAATCTTTTTAAAATTTTGCTATTAACTTCCTTTTTATTATTTTTTTAAACATATCTATAATCTAAATGTGCTATATTTTCTATTTTTTTATACATATTTTCTTTAATTTAAATATTTTTTGAGACCACTTAAAAAAATTTATACTTAAATTAAATTAATTATTAAGCATATTAGTGTTAAAAAAAAAGTGTCGCTTTTAGTCTCCTTTTAATTATTTAGTCGAAATTATAAATTAGCATATCCACTAAATCTTTACTCGATTCTGGCGTATTTAATGGCAATTAATACAAGAAGCAGAACTGCAAATTCTGGGAGTATTGTTAAAACTAGTTGAGAAATAAGAAGAACTTGGTTTCATTATGGTGAACCTGAAAAATCGACTGATTCTTCACAGTTGATTGCATTCTATTTACTTTGAAACATAAACTTTAGTTTACAATATGGTTGCAACGTCTGATTGAACTTAAACAATTTTTAATTTTTCAATTTAAAGTTTTTTTGTAAGCTCTTTTTTTGTAAGTTTAAGATATTTGGGCGTTAAAAACAATTTTTTTATAAAAATTTAATATATTTGGGCGTTAAAAACAATTTTTTAATAGAATTTTTTTTTTTTAAATTTAAAACTTTTTTGTAAACGCTTGCTTAATAAAATTGGTAGTAAAAAACAATTTGTTGAAAAAAACTATTGTTATCTTACAACTCGTATATGCAGATAAAACAAATTTGAATAAGTTAACCATAAACTAATATTTAAACTATGAAATTATTATCTTTATAAATAACTATTATTATTTTGTCAAAAAATTTAACTAACAATAATCTATTTGGGTAGTAATAGTGAGTTTGGTATTCTAATAATTAAATTATTGATTTTATAATATTCCTAGGGTTTATACCTGTAAATAAAAAAAGCAAAATGGTGTTTTGCTTTCTTTATTCACAGGAATAAACCTAAACTTTATAATCCTTGTAAAAACCTTTTTCAGAAAATGAATTGCAAGTAAACCTCACTATGTCTGAGTCATGTTATAAATATCACGTAATAAATAATATTTGTTTTATGATTTGGCATTAAAGGTACATAGATTTAAATAGATAATAGGAAAATAAACAGATACATCTATATATAAATATATATGTATATATATATATATATATATATATAAATATATATATATATATATATATATATATATATATATATATTTATATATATATATATATATATATACATATATATATATATATATATATATATATATATATATATATATATATATATATTTATATTTATATATACATATTACATTCTATTGTATTATTTTATATTATATTAAACTTTTTAAAACTTCAATATTACATTTTTGATACTCAGACTTTGAAACTTTTTTTTTCAATAAGTCACTAGAACATTGTTTACTTTAAAATTTTCTAAATGTATATGCTTTTATATGAACAATTTTGTTGAGCAAAACATATGTATATAATTTAAAAAAATTTATTAATTTTAAATAAATTTAAAATAATTGAATGTTTTGATCATATGATTTTGAATAAAACGACGCAAGATAAATTAATCATATGATTTTGAACAAAAAAAAGCTAGTTTTATTACATGAAAAATCATATTAATAACTTTAGCATATTTTTTACATTCACCAGATAAGATATAATTATTTTCTCAAAAATTATGTCATATAAAAGCTCCTAACTGAGAGTACCATTTCCTCAGTAACAAAGAATTATGATTATGAAGTGAACTCTGACAGTAATCTAAAAATTTTTGATTCAGAATGTTGCCCAATACAGATTTTAAAACAAGTAATGGAAATAAAAATAAAGAAATAAAAAGTAGTTTTATGCAGTGGACAGTTAAATTTGCTATAATTGGTGCAGAATTATCATGTTGTTTAAAATTTTGTGTAAGTCGTTAGCACAGTGGTTAGCACGTTGACCTACAAGGTTAGAAATCAGTAATAGTTCCACCGTTGGGCAAGTTTTATAACATCGATAAAAAAGGAGGAGTGAAAATCCTTTTAAAAAATAATAAAATATAAACATTCTACGTCAAACAAAATCTTCTGTACCTAATACAACCGGAGTCAATTAGGCGTGAGACGAGGTATTTTAAATAATGTTTTAGGTTTTCGTAACAAAAAAGACTGCAAAATATGAATTTAAGTCATGATTGATCGCTTACTGCTGTTTAAAAGCTATAAACGACAATTTGGTCTATACTATGTGTGATTGAAAATGTGAAAAAAAACATTTGACGTAATAAAACACCATTTAGTAGTTGTATGTTTTATGATAGGTATAAAACAAACGACAGTTGTGATTTTCTAAAAAAAATATTTGATGAAAGTGTTGTACTATTTGATATTTTATTAATGTTAACTAGCTGTCCTGACTCGTAAAACACGGGTCACGGTAAATTTGTTTCACACTGATCATTTCTATACTTAATCTTAATAAACACTCTATGGTAATGTTTTGTAATAAATGGCTAAAAAAACATTCATTCAAAAATCTAGGTTTTAGGTTAGCGACTTAAGTTTCCTACTACTTATAAAAATCTGCGGGCTTAGAGCCTAATAAAAACATATAAAATAATAAAAAATAAATTATATTCAAATTTTTTCTAAAGTTTAAATGTAATATATATATATATATATATATATATATATATATATATATATATATATATATATATATATATATATATATATATATATATATATATATATATATATATATATATATATATATATATATGTATGTATATATATATATATATATATATATATATATATATATATATATATATATATATATACATATATATATATATAAATATATATATATATATATATATATATATATATATATATATATATATATATATATATATATATACATATATAAATATATATATATATATATATATAAATATATACATATATATATATATATATATATACATATATATATATAATATATATATATATATATATATATATATATATATATATATATATATATATATATATATATATATATATATATATATATATATATTATATATATATATATATATACATTTGCTCTTATGTTACTGACAAACCATAAGTAATATATAATAATATTATAATATATAATAATATCTATCTAAAATGTAGGCAGTTGCTAACTTTCCTAGAAGATAACATCTGTTAATTATCGGATAGCCACTTTTGACGTCAACTAATGGTTCAAAAAGTTATCGTTAAGTAAAATTATAGTAGCCGCTAAAAATGTATATATAAAATATATATATATATACATTTTATATATATATATATATATATATATATATATATATATATATATATATATATATATATATATATTTATATATATATACATATATATATATATATACATACATTTATATATATATATATATATATATATATATATATATATATATATATATATATATATATATATACATACATACATACATATATATATATATATATATATATATATATATATATATATATATATATATATATATATATATATATATATATATATATATATATATATATATATATATATATATATATATATTTATATATATATATTTGTAAAAATATATTAGTTTGAAGTTATCATATATAAACAGTAAAGGGTGTGCCTAAAAAATAAAAAATGAACTGTTTCATTAAGATTTGTTTTTAAATAATTGATTTAAGTGAAGAACTTTTATAAATAATTTACCACTACAGGCCTTTTTAAGTTTTTTAATTTGTGCGCAACTGTTAGCGTGTTTGCGGCTGTTTTATAAACTTGGTAAAGTGGTGTTAGTTTCTTGTTAAGCGTCACGTATATTTATTTTACTAAATAAATAGTAGGATATCAACTTTGAAAAATCGTATTATGCAATTTTTCGTGTTCGCCAGTATAAAAACAGGTTCTTATTCTTATTTTAATAATCTCAAACATGAAGTTTGCGGTTGCAGTTTTCTTTCTTGCATTCATTGCTTTAACATACGCCAGAAGTAAGTAAAACTTCAATGCACTTGTAAATATGTTATATTTTAAGGTTATTAACTAATAGACAATTCAATACGCCATTCTATTTTATTTAAATTAACATTCTCAAATAAAAACTTTAAATTTAAGTTTTTCTCAACGCTTTTAAAAGTTTAATTGAATCAAGACAGTATATTTTTAATGTAAATATAAATGCGCATTTATTCTAATAAAATGAAAATAATTAATTAAAATAACAATGCGCACTTAGATTATAGAAATGTTATAGAAGATATAAAACAGAGAGTTGAAAAAGATGTTTTAAGAGATCTTGAAGATGACATTAGCGAGTTAGACGATGACATTTACGGTAATTGTTTTATTTATTTTACTTTTAATTTATTAAAAAAAATAACAATTAAATAAAGAAAGTAATATGATTGTGTGAAAAACGATTTTATCTAGTAAAAGTTAAAGATGCAAGACCATATTATCGTTGGGTTGACACTGCCAAGGTGCTTCTTCCATATGTTCCCGCTGTTATTGGATTGCTTGGTGACGCAAAGAAGGAGTGAAGATACTCCACTTAGAAGCCTTTAATATAAACTTTATGAAGAATATATAGATTTAATGTCTTAATGTACAAATATTTGTGTAGACCCATATGTACAAATGCCTTAAAAAAATCTAGTTAAACAAATGAAAAAGTTATTATTAAAATCAAAATACATGCTACTCGAACAAATTTTTTTTTAATTTATAACTAGAATAAATCTTATTTTGTTTTTGTATTTCTAAAAAAAAAAAAGTTTTGAAACAAACTTGAGCTAAAAATCAAAAATAACTATTATGGTAAAAATGGTAATCATTTAAATTAGTTAAAAGCTTCCTTAACAAACCGCAAGCAGCGTGTTATATTTGGAGACTCAATATCTGAATGATGTAACTAGCGGTGTTTCCCAAGGTTTTGTTTTAGGAGCAACGCTTATTGTCATATTTTTAAAGACCTACCAAACCCTGTTTAATCAGCTATTTGCAAAATGTACTTAGGTGACAAAGTCCGTGAAAAAAGGATAAATATCGAACAGGTTTACAATCCGATCTAGAAAAGATTGTGAAATAAATGCAAACCTGGCTAATGAAGTTAAATGTAAAAAAACGTTAAACCGAGCATGTTAGCTCTAACAATAAACAATGAACTGACAATAAAATTTGATTTATTTATGGATTAAATCAAAAATGACGGCAAGACAAATAGAATTCTTTTAAAAGTCACAAAACCCAAAAAATATTTCGGAATTCTAATTTCTGACAATCTTAAATATGCTCGAACATAGCTGCAAACAAAGCAATTAACATAGGAAACTAATTTGTAAATTTTTAATGTGGAATAATTTTTAAACAATTATTTTTTTGTTTTTAGATAATTATAAGGCAATATATTTCCAAAGCTTCCTATCACCTTGAAAGAATATAAACATTTACATACATACATGACCTCTTACCAACCTTTTTGAAAGTGTTAACCCTAAAACAATTTCAAATAAACTTCTTACGTTCATCTTTTAATATAGTTAGCTTTGTTTATTTTTTTAAATAGTTTTATATATAGTTTTTTACACTAAAACCAAATAAAAATGCGTTCACAAAAGATTTTTACCCACAAAAAAAACCTATCCACCTCCATATTATAATACTAATTTCTAATCCTGATACCATTGTCATTTTTTTCATAAATAAACATTTCAAGTCATTTAATGATGCATCAATTGTGTTGGAACATGTGAGCCCCATTTTCACGTTCGCAAGATTTTTGATAATCCTTTTTTACTATTAATTGAGATTATATTAATATTTAAATATTATTGAGACTTCTAATTAAGTAAATTAGACAATTTTTTACTTCTGCTTGTTTGATCTTTAAAACTGGTTTCACAGTTGTGAGTTTATGATCTAAACTCACAAATGTGAGTTAGGGTTAGGGTAATTATTAGGGTTAGGGTTATTATTTTAATAGGGTAATATTTGTAAAACAACGATTTGAATACATACATGTATTAATACATGTGTACACATATAAACCATTTCTAATTAATTATAATAAAAATAAATTATAACATAAATATAAATATAATAATTAACGTTCATTAATATACCTCTAGTGCGTAATGCTAAGTAGAGAATTACATCTAAGATGCACTTTAAAAGTACACGATGCCTGACTGCCTCATTTCTTATCGATTTTTCTAAACTTGAATCAATCTCGCACTGGTTTCCCTTATAGCGCTGTTTTTGACTTAATTTTATAGTCTCGATGGACTGTTTTAGTGGCATTTTTTAACTCTCTCTCTCTCTCTCTCTCTCTCTCTCTCTCTCTCTCTATATATATATATTTATATATATATATATATATATATATATATATATATATATATATATATATATATATATATATATATATATATATATATATATATATATATACATATATATATATATATATATATATATATATATATATATATATATATATATATATATATATATATATATATATATATATAAATATGTATCTGTTTATTTACCTATTATCTATTTAAATCTAAGTACCTTTAATGCCATATCATTAAACAAATATTATTTATTACGTGATATTTATAATATGACTCAGACATAGTGAGGTTTACTTGCAATTCATTTTCTGAGAAAGGTTTTTACAAGGATTATAAAATTTAGGTTTATTCCTGTAAACAAAGAAAGCGAAATACCATTTTGCTTTTTTTATTTACAGGAATAAACCCTTAAAATAATATAAAATCAATAATTTAATTATTAGAATACCAAACTCACCATTACTACCCAAATAGATTATTGTTAGTTTAATTTTTTGACTAAATAATAATAGTTATTTATAAAGATAGTAATTTTATAAATTAAATATTAGTTTATGGTTAACTTATTCAAATTTGTTTTATCTGTATATAAGAGTTGTAAGAAAACAATAGTTTTTTTCAACAAATTGTTTTTTACTACCAAATTTATTAAGCAAGCGTTTACAAAAAAGTTTTAAATTGAATAAAAAATATTTCTATTTAAAAATTGTTTTTAACGCCCAAATATCTTAAACGAGAGCTTACAAAAAAACTTTAAATTGAAAAATTAAAAACTGTTTAAGTTTAATCAGACGTTGCAACCATGTTGTAAACTAAAGTTTATGTTACAAAGTAAATAGAATGCAATCAACAGTGAAGAATCAGTCGATTTTTCAGTTTTACCATAATGAAACCAAGTTCATCTTATTTCTCAACTAGTTTTAACAATACTCCCAGAATTTGCAGTTCTGCTTCTTGTATTAATTGCCATTAAATACGCCAGAATTGAGTAAAGATTTAGTGGATATGCTAATTTATAATTTCGACTAAATAACCAAAAGGAGACTAAAAGCGACACTTTTTTTATGACACTAATATGCTTAATAATTAATTTAATTTAAGTATAAATTTTTTTAAGTGGTCTCAAAAAATATTTAAATTAAAGACAATATGTATAATAATATAGAAAATATTGCACATTTAGATTATAGAGATGTTTAAAAAAATAATAAAAAGGAAGTTAAAAGCAAAATTTTAAAAAGATTGATATGAGAATTGCCAGTTAGACATTGGCATTTATTCTAGTCATTTTTGATTTAGTTTTATTTGATCAAATAATTTTAAATTAAGTAGTTTAGAATAATCAATGAAAACTGCTAATATCTAGTAATTTTCATATATTTATATTATTTCTAAAACGCAAGACCATAATGAAAATTTTTGCCATAGGGTTAAGCGCTTTCTTTTATACGTTTTCTCGGCTGTTCTTAAGTTTGGTATCGAAAAAATAAATAAAGTAAATTGTTTAATATTGAATGTTAATATATAGTAAATATTATATAATTTAATGTTTAACTCTTTAAAATTTCTATTTATCACTTTATCAAAAATTCTTAAAATCAGTATATTTAAAATAGTTTTAAATTGCCATATAGAGGTCATTTTACCAGAAGTCCGCGAAGGCTGGTTGAGCTCCCGAGGAAGCGTCATACCTGCTCTACGGACTGAGAGTAAGGTGAACGAAGATATCTTAGAGTGAAAAACAGTGGTAGACGAATATATGTTAGCGTGAAAAACAGAAGTAGTCGAATTAGAAAGATAGCATAATGTAAGCGGACAGGATTGAACGCGATGTTAGAAAGGGCAATACATACTGCTAGTTAGGCTTTAGCCTAAGTAAAGTACGCCGACTAAGTAGTGATTGGAGCTCACTTAACATGCGCTCTCCTCAACTGTCTTTGTCGTCTATATCATACTAAAAAATAACATTTTATTTAGAGTTTTGCCTCAAAATTGCTTGCGGGTTTGTTTAGAATAATACAATGAAATAATTGATTATTTTTAAAATAGCCTAATAATGCTTGAAGGTTTGTAATTTTTATTTAATGTGTTTAGTTCTATTTTAAAAATAAACTTTTTTATTTTTAAAAACAGTTAAAATTGCTTGTGGTTGTTTATTTCTTTGAAGATCTTTTTTTATTACTTTTATTTTGAAAAACTATGTTTTTAATAAAATTGAAAAAGTAACTTACAAAGTTAGGTTATTTTTGTTTAATAATAATATAAAAATCTGTGGGAGGACGCGGGCTGCAATGCAAATGAAATATTTGTACTTTATGTTATTTTACTTTTATATAAAAATTTTTTATCGTTTAAAAGAAAATATTCGGCTCCTTTAATCAGCAAATACTCTGTTTCTTTAGGATAAAAAGCTCGACTTTATTACAAATGTCTAGACAAACGCATTGCTAAATATCGTAACTCTCTGTAAAGACTAAAAAGTAGAATATGAAATATAGCAAAAACAATTGCTAAAACTATAATTTTTTTGTACTAAAAAGTAGAAAATAAACTTTTTAATTTAAATTTAATAGTTTAGTAAACTAAAACTACTCTAGTAATGTCACTTAACAAGATTGCTTTTTTTATTTTTTACTTATTTTATGTCTCAAAGGTTCTCGATGACAAGACTTCTTTAAGTCATCTGCGAGTTTCCTTACAACATCACTATTATTTCACCAAATTATCTTATCAAATTTATTATCATTAAATATATATAAAACATATACTTTGTATTTAACACAGTGTGTTTGAAAATATATTTTTAATCATTTGTATATATATACATTTATTGTTGTTTTCTTTTTGACTATATATTATGTCAAGAGAAAAAATTGTAACAATAGTTTATAAAGTTGTAAAAAATCATAAAGAAAAAAAAAAAAAAAAAAAAAAAAAAAAAAAAAAAAATTTTGAGAGGTATGTTTTTACATAAATCTTGTGCAGATCTGTCAATATTTAGTTTAATGAAATATTAAATTTAAATTAAAATGTTTTTTTTTCTATTTTTTAGTACAAAAAGATTATAATTTTATTAAATACTTTTGCTATATTTTATTTCTGTTGAGTGTTTATTGCTGAAAAATAGATTAAGTTAAATTATTTGACATTCCTAGCTCCACAATACTCCACATAAAAAAACGTAGACATTTTTATGCCAACTTTAAATTTGTTAAGTAGACGTCTTGTAAAAGTCTCAAGTGTTTA